GGGGGGGATAATTTATTAAACGCAAGTGAGGATCAATACTCATTAAATTGTTTAACAGCGTGATGATACAGTTCTGTTTCAATCAAATCATCTGTTGAATCCGAAAGTAACGGCACGCAGTTCGTCGAAGCTAGAGTAAGTAAAATTATATAGTTATATTGAATATTAACTGACACCTGTATTACGTTCGTCTTTGGCCTCTTATTCTGACTAAATAAGAATAAATTACAGTTCGAAAGAATCATGACAAATAGACCTGTTTTTTTGCCCATTTTTTAGACCTCAAATTTAAAATTTTTTTAATGCCAAATAGTACTATGTGATGTAACATTAATTTTAGAGAAATTTTAAGATGAGCATAGACACGGTTCCGGAGATATACAGGGATGAAAGTGATAGTTTCTCATAACCCATAAAGGTACACGAAACTCTTCAAGTGTCCATACCAAGAAATAAAATATATATTTAACGAAATAAAACATATCGTTTCTTATAGATTCTTTTACACCAGATTCAAAAATATTATACATATATATACATATATATATATATATATATATATATATATATAATGTAATATTATGTATATAATATAATGTATATATAATGTTTATATAATGTATATAATATAATATATATATACACATATATAATATTTTGAGACCTCAAACATTTTTTTCTATTGCATTAATTTTTGGAAGAAGAGGTGGTCCGCTTGACGTAAAACGTCCCAATAGAAAAAAATGTTTGAAGTCTCAAAATACATATTTGTATTCTTGTGTAATTTCAAATGGAACATATATATGGTCTTTTGAAAAATTCAATGTCGCCGCTCAAATATGACATTTAAAATCTGCAAAAGTCACGAATAATCTTACAATATCTTCTTTGATTAAAATTCGGAAATGTTTAATAAATCAGTTTAAAAATAATTGAGCTATAAGATTTTTGAGGTTGTTGATTACAAATCTGTAGACAGAATTACAAAATGGCGAATTCAAAATAGCTGAATTTGGCATCAGTACATCAAGTATAAGCATCATAAAATTATTGTACATTGATCGTTGGTTAAACGGCACTAAAATAGTGCATTACTTGCAATTTTTTCCTTTAATGACAAGAAAAGCAAAGAGAAACATGAAAATTCAGAAATTTCTTGCAATAAAATTTTCTGCAGCTCCGTGACTAAATCTAAAATGAATATGCGTTTATAATATTCTTTGTCATTAAAAGAAAAAAATTGCCAATAATGTGCTAGTCTAATGCTGTTGAACCAATGATCTTTGTAGAGTTAGACTCTACAGAACTTGATTAGACTCGACAAAATCATATCAGCATCTATTTAATTTAATTTAATTTAAATTATTTATAATTTACAAATGCATTACTATATTTATACCAATTTGGCAAAAAAATGTGTATCCGATTTCCGTCACGTAAGATTTTATCACAGAATATCAATGTAAATATTTGACAATATAGGCAACGTTACAAAAGTATATGTGCATCTCAAATATTCTCACAGTTATGCTTTTAAGGTGTCAGAAGAAATTGCGTGAAGAATAATGGCGTTGTCATTTAATATCAACATGATGTAAATAGATTTTTTATGGCAAAATGTATTGCACATGATATCGATAACATGCGATAAAATTCTTTTAATATTAAAAAATATATTTTTAACTTTATTTTTTGAAATTATTTAAATAGTATGTTTAATTATATATATGTATATATATATATATATGTGTGTATATTCGTTTACACAATATGTAGTTATTTCTCTTATAAAATTGTATGTAATTAACAGAAATATTATATTTTTTCTTCTCTCTGTTACAACTCGTACATCTTAATTCATTAATTTATTCTAACTTATTTCAGTTTTAATTAAATTTTATCCAGAACTTTCGTTTCAGGTGAATTAGCGAAAGCGATTTTGTGCAGAAAAAATTATTATAAATGAAAATTTATGAGACAATAAAAGTATAAGACAATGGAAACAATAAGAAAGAAAGTGAGAAGAATCTTAAGTTAGCGTTAAATTATGTACAATCAAAATTTTTAATTTAAAAACTTTAATTTTATTTCCACATTTTAACGTTTATTGCCCTTTGTACTTTGCTTTTTTTGTTCTCAAAAAAATTAAGCAGAGCGCGTATTAATTTATAATAAGATATTTTTATATCTTATATTTTTATATTTTTAATCAGTTCTCTCGAATATTTTTTCTGCGTATCAAATCTTCATTAATTTTGGTCATGAGTACTTATTGATGTTTGTTTTATCTATTGACTTTTTCTTTAATAATTGCTACAAGATAGAAGAAAGTGATGTTGTTTTTAAAAACAGGGAAAAGATTAAAGATAGATAAGGTAGAAAAAAAGAAATAATGTTCCAATATTGGATAAGTATAAGACTAATAGAAGAAAAAAATGAAAAAATAAGGAGAAAGAAGAAAGAAATAGATCGTTGGTTAAACCAGTCAACGAAGGCAAAATCCTTGGTTAATTTAGCCAAGAATTAGATGCATCTAATGTTTTTCCCGTTACAGGCGTAATTTTTATAGTTATTTTCGGATTCTATAACGATTCAAACTACGTAAAAATACGTACGATTTATTCACCTTGCAGTTCTCAAAAGCTCAATTTTGTATACCTTCCTTTTCATGCTTATACAATTATTTATGTGACGCATTTTATTATGTTACGACACTAAATATATTCATCTTCGTCGTTTCACAAATGTTTTTCGTAAATATTTCGGCGAATTTTCAATTTATTTATCAATACGTTGCTCGCAAAATATCTTGCAAATGTCAATCACACTAGAACTTTTTTTCGTTTGTTGCCTTACTTCGCCATAGCTTTGGAATTTATCCGAAGCCCATCGCCGATACGTCAAAATTCGGCAAAATATGGTTAACGTGTACATCGCAGCGCGCGATTGGCATGACATAGATTTGAATCAATCGATATCGTACTATTCTATGCCACGTTGGGATTATGGTATTTATTGCAGATAGCAATACGGCCTCTTTCAATTGCATAGAATTCCTTGAGTTCATTATATTTTTTTGAAACCTAACAACCAGCCATTTTAGGCTTTTTAAAGGCGGATTCAGACATATTTGTTTTGTATCAATGTAGATGATGCAGAGCGTTGCATCGTTTAATATCAAAATTTTGATAAAATGATATGCAAGGCGCATTATTTAATTAATATGCAATGATATACGATATGCAGATACACAACAAATTAATCGCTTAAAGGCTATTGTTTACTCATCACTTACTATCTCAGATTGCAACGATAGTTTATAAATTGATAAAAGCGACTTTTGTAAAATATACCGAAAATTCTTTTTGTTTTATTAATTAATAAATTGTTAAATTGATTATTAAATAACCATAATCTGAATATGAATATTATAAATAACAAACAAATATATATGCTTTTTTGTTTTATTAATTAATAAATTGTTAAATTAATTATTAAATAACCATAATCTGAATATGAATATTATAAATAACAAAAAACTACATATATAAGCTCTTTAATTATATAAAACACTGTCAAATTAATAATATTATATATATTTTTCAATTCTAACTTATATTTACTAAGGTTTTTGGTTCGCAATCAGTAGGGTTGCCATCTATCCTCTTTTCCCCGGACACTGTCTTCGTTTTTACGGCGTCCGGGGTCCAGAAGGATTTTCCGAAGGCGTCCAAGGTAATTATGAGCGTCCGAGGTTTTTCAAGGAATCTTATAAATATTTTGCTTCGATCTTTTCCGCGCGACCCTATTTTAGCCCTGATCGACAATAGGTATAGTAAGCCTAACCATAGCGAAGCGAATAATGAACTATGGTTGGGAGTCAGTTTTTTACGGCAGTGTTCACAAAAAAGCCTTTAGCATTTATGTGATAGGTAGTATACATTATACTGAATGCCTCAGTAAAAAAAGCTTTAGTAAACATAAATTGAAAACTCAATTGTTTCTGAGATATAAACAATTTTGTATTTTAGGTTTAGAACTT